GGGGGGGGAATGTGTCAATTTAGTCACATCTTAAATTTATATGCGTGCTTATATTTTTACAAAATGTTATTTAAGTAAGCTTTATCTTTTTAAGGAGCAAATAATGTCATATAATTAATTTGTTTAATAAAATGATTGAATTTAAGGAACAAATAGTATGTTATATAATTAATTTGTTTAATAAAATGAATGAATTTAAGGAACAAATAGTATGTTATATAATTAATTTGTTTAATAATATGAATGAATTGAATCGTTATGAAGTATGGAATGAAATGGTTGAATGATTGTTTGTTTTTGTGCAAAAAAGTGTGAGTGTGTACAACCCAATGTTTGAGTCAATTACATGAGATAAAATTAGATGAAAATTATCAGGGCCGGATTTAAACCCTTAGGGGCACTAGGCTGAATGAGTTTTTGGCAATGCTGGGTTAAGTACTGTTTGACCTCCATGCACTTTAGGCCTTTTGTCCCCTTTTGGCCTTCTATTATTTAAATTTAAGAGCAGTTTAAAATAAAAAAATCTTTGTAATTGTTGCACTATGGCTTTATAATGTATTTCCGTTTGTATTTAAACAAGTATATCACATTATTGATTATTTCATTATTATCATATATCAAAGTTCCTTGCTGGAATATGTTAACAGATATTTAACTTTAAGACTTTGATGCATAAAAGAAGTTATAAGTTTCTTGAAGAAAGCTAAAGAATAAAGAAATTAACAGCAGCTCCGTTGGATTCCACGGTACTCACTCCAACGAGGTTCAAATAGTGACCATCACATGGAATGTGTTCAGCAAGAATGTTGATCTTTGTAATTCTTGCTTGTAAACCAAAGTAGATTCCAGACATATTACTGACATTGTTGTATGACTGGCCATGGCAATTTTGAATGATGATTGCATACTAATCTAACTTTTTCATGCATGGAAACTGCAAACGAATTCAAGCATGGAAACTGCAAAATGATAATGCATGGGAATGAATGCTAAGAACCGCTCAACTGGTTTTCTGTTTTGTACACATCAGGAAACAAATCAACAATGATTTGAGAATTATTTCTCAAATTTGAATTCGCTAAGAAATTATGTTTGAAGTAAATAAAAAAATTATATTATAACATGTTATTTAATGATGATCATAATACCTAAAAATAACCTTGGCGGCTATTAAGTGTTATTAAGTTCTTCGCAAATTTCTTTAGATAAGTATGAGGTACAACCCTTTTCTTTCTTTTCATGAGTTATCAAATGTTGGACGAGAAAAAGATCAAATTTTTTAGTTTTTTCAATCATTTTTTTCATTCAAATATTTTGAATGAAAAAAACTTGAAAGTTCTTTCAAGTCGTTAAAAATTACTGATTTTTGGGCCCCTCAAATATTTTGAATGAAAAGCCATTATATAGTATATATAGCATTAAACTGTTCCTTGTTTAACTTTTTATCTTCATTCCTTAGTTTAGTGCTATATATATATATATATATATATATATATATATATATATATATATATATATATATATATATATATATATATATTGTAGAATTTCTCCTTGAAGAATTCTCCAAGGAATTTAGTGTTCCAATCTTTAACAATTATGCAAAGAACTATACACAATTTTAATAATTTTCCAGAGAATTGTTGTTAAACAATCATTACAATCATGAAAGTAATATTTTTAAATAAATCCCTAAAAGCCCTAAGCAAACATTTTTTAAACCCATTTTGAAGCCCCCAAATTTGTGGGCCCTGCAATGCCCACAAATTTGGGGGCTATATATATATTTTTTAAATAAATCTTTTTCCTCTCATCTTTGTTTATTGCTCACTTTTTCCTTGTTTTTGTACATCTGTCTATACTTTTTTCTTCAGAAATCAAAATGTTGTTACCCATCATGTGTATCTTTACACTTTGCATGTACAAGCCATGTTAACTTTGGGATGATGCCAAGTTGCTTCATCAAATTTGTTATCACACAATTTATCATTATATGTGATAACATAACTTACTTTTATATATGTGATAACATAACTTACTTTTACTTACTTACATAACTAAGCTTTTTGTGATTATATCAAAATGTAAAAAAATGACTTGAGCCACTTTTGCTTTAGGCTATTAATATGTAACTTTTTATACAGACTAAACACAAAAAGTATATTACCTTTGGTTATAAACCTTTGGTTGGTTACCTTTTAACTTTGAGACTTCAGAGATTCTCTTTGGCATTGAATTTGCACAAATTGATACAATTCTGGAGTTTCCTTATGCAACTAGAAATGCTTAATTACATCTTTAAGTGCATCAATTGTTGTTGCTCTTGCTATAGTAACTCTGGTTTTCATTGTGTTTTCAATAAAGTTGATATCTGGAGAATTTGGAGTCCATAAAAGTGTTTTAATGTTAATGCTCTGCAACCATGCCATGACAGTTTTGGCAGAAAGACAGGGAGAACCATTTAGCATAAAGATTTTTCAAGATGGATGTTGATAAATGCAAAAAATATTTTTCTAATACTTGTTTGTATCTGACAGTATTTATCCTCTCTCCCTTTTTCAGAAAGTATAGGTCACTTTGTCCTGTAACACACATACACCATCATATCATTTGAAGGATGCTTAACAGTTGGTCTTGCATAGATTGGGATACAGTGATTTGAACCACGAGGTCGCGAAACATTTTTCTTCGTATGCAAATAGCTGAAAGGTAGTAGGGATGTACCGGAATTCCGGCCGGAATTTGTGTCTTTTAGATCAATTCGCTTCTGGCTAGAATTTAAAAAAATTTTCTATTTTTTTTTTATGACATGACACAGGCTGTGTAAATAAATCAATTGGTATAACTACGCAATTGCATAATTGAAAATGTCTCTTGGAAAAAACTTCTTGAAAATTGGAATTTTCCCAGCGATTTTAGGGGTTTTCTTGGCAACTTGCTTGTAAAATTCACTTCTCAATATTTGCAAATTCTTTGCAATCCTTTCCGACATTAGCAAATATTATATAAAAAAGTTATTAAGTAATAAAGTACTATCTAAAAAATTAACAAATTGGTTTGGTTTAACACCTGCTATTTCACCTGCTATAACAAATGTTATTTCTTTAAATCTTTTTCCTGTTTTGGCTCAATAGACGTCTTTTGACCTTTCAAAAGACGTTTAAAAGGCGTCTTTTTTACGTCCTGTGGCCACTGGGTTAAATTAGCATGATTTTGTCAGCGTATTATGTCCTAACAAGAGCTTTAGATGTTATAATTTTTTTTGCTTCAAGTTTTTAAAATGTTTGAAGAAACTTTGAATGAAAAAGTATGGCTTTTTTATATAATTTTAAAAACTTATTTATCACTCCTAATTGTGAATCTGAAGAATACCATGTTTGAGTATTTATATCAACTCTGCTCAACAACTTTATATCAACTCTGCTCAACAACTTTATATCAACTCTGCTCAACAACTTTATATCAACTCTGCTCAACAACTTTATATCAACTCTGCTCAACAACTTTATATCAACTCTGCTCAACAACTTTATATCAACTCTGCTCAACAACTTTAACTTAATTTTAATGAAAAAGTTTAGGAAAAGTGCCTTAATTCACTATAGTTCCTAGCTCAAGAAAGTATTTACAATTACGAAAAATTGCCAATAAATGATCAGAACAAATCATATTATTAAACTATGATGTTCATTTCACCTAAACAACGTATTTAATTAAAATCTTATATTATTTGGACAAGCAATCGTGATTTTAGGGGAAAAAAAAAGAATCTTTGGTCTGTTTTTGTTGATACAAACATTTTTAGTTTGTGTTACGACTTAAATTAAATTTTTTTTTGGTCTTAATAACATTTTATGACTGAATGAAAAAATAAATGTTGGTATTCTTTGTTACAAAGATTACGTGCAATCGTTTGCATTATTCTTTTTTAATTTAATACTTGTGGTTGTTTTTGCAGAGACTTCGTAACTTTACTTTGCTATGCGAGACTTCGTAACTTTACTTCGCTATGCGATTTATTTATGAAGATAATTATTATTAATTATTAAATTGAACTCGCAATAAATGTAAAATATAAATCTTACGAACTCGTTTTTATTATTTTCAAAACCAATATCAATTCTTTTTTTCTATTTTAAAAACATTTTTTTTGATGATATAATTTATTACGCGATGAAGGGTTCGTCCATAAATGTGAATTTCCATTCATCCGTTTTTCTACGGGAACGAAAAAATATTCACTTGGAAAAACGGATGAGTGGAAACTCGCCAAGCAGAATTTAATAGTTAGAAGTAGAGATCATTGACTCTCTTCCGGGAAGATTTTCATTAAACATAAATCGCTATATTACTTTAAAAACCGGCCTTTAATGCCCACCAGTGAAAAAGAAAAAATATATTCAAAAGAATACTCTTAAAATGAAAGCGGCAATGATATATTAAGATTTAAATAAATCAAATGTAAAATTCTTAATAATAATTAATATCAACTGATTAAAATAGTTTAAAAATATATAATTCTTGGAAATCGGAGTTTAGTTTGCCGTGTCGTTGTGAAACCACTTAATTTTGTGTTAATTTCATATTCATCTTCAATAAATGTTGCAGGCTCTATTTTATTTTATTTTTGGCGCTTTCAGATCAATTTATGCAGCGCTGAAGTGGAGTAGAAGAGGAAAGAATATAAAAAAAGGACCCTACGCATTCCCGGAACACATTTTAATCTGGGGATGGGGGTGGTGGTGTGGAGGGAAATATTTTGATAAATTCCCAATTTCGTCAAAACGCTGTATCAAATTTATTCCTGGTTAACACCCTGAATTTTAATGTTGTTGGCAAAATCTCTTTTGAATAGGATTTTTAGAATTGCTTATTAAGGATTGTTTAACAGTTTGTAAATTTTTAAATTTAATACACAACTTATAGTTCTGTATAAGATTTATAGTTCTTATTTGCACTTATCATATTTGTATTTTATTTTTTATTTTTTTATATGAAAGAAACGAAAAATTTCTTGGCTCCTTGGCAAGCGGAAAATGGATACTGCATAAATCTTTTTTGGAGGCAAGTAGAGAATCAGGTGCATTCGTCGATGAAGTTAATCATGAATGGGGTAGCCAACCCAATGCATCAGCTTTTGCATGTTCAGCCAAAAGATGGCGTATTGATTTAGCAGCAAAACGTAGATTGGAGCCGTCCGTTGGTGCGTTTATTGGTTGGGTTGTATTGCTTTGTATTGAACCCTCAAAGCAACTTGGATTTACCAGAATTTTGGAAGCAGGAGGAGCAAAACTGTTATGTGAAAGACCGCCATTTACTAACATCCTAGGAGCTACTCATGCGTTTATTGCAGGTATTTACTATATCTATTCATTTTATATTTTGGAAACTTTCTTAAATGATGTCAAACATTTACATATTTATAAATCATGTATATTCATATATTATATGTGTTCCAGACACATATAAATCATTAGGGTTATAACTTTTTTGTATTCGGTTTCCTGTATGAAAAATAGATGAATTTTGGTTTAAAAGTAGTTGAAAAATATTTACCTTTTTAAAATTCTAATTTTTTTAAAACCCATGTTAATATACTTTTAGATAAAAAAAATTCCTCTTCGACTTGTCGTGTAATAAATGATGGTGTAAGCCTTTTTCGAAAATAATTGAAACCAATGACTTTTTAGTTAATTTCAAACCAAATTATTTATTTTTTACACAGGAGATACCCAAATATTCTTATCTTGTATTCTAGATAAAAAACAAGCAAAGTTGCTTGATTTTCAAGTTTTGACCGCTGCTGGAATCTTAATTTTAAAACCAGAATACATTTCGGACTACTTAACAGTATTTCCAATACCTTCCACTTCAAAATACGTTATTTCTGATATGGAAATAGAAAAAGAACCTAGTGCATCGTGCAAAAGAACAGTTGCCTCAAAGCGCTCTGATGCAGAAAATAACTCTCAACAATTTACAAAAAGAACGCGACGTTAATTTATGGTTAATATATTTAATTTGTAAATATTTATCCAATCAAATAGTGAGCTTTTGTTGAGCTCGATTTTGTATTTGTAACCAAAATTAAAGATATAACTTCCGACTCAAATTAATATTTTCTATCTTGCTTTTGGTACATAATAATAGATCCCAAGATTTCAATTTTTTTTAAGGGATCAAAAACTTTTTTTTGTTTGGACTGCTATATATATATATATATATATATATATATATATATATATATATATATATATATATATATATATATATATATATATATATATATATATATATATATATATATATATATAAAATATATATATATATATATATATATATATATATATATATATATATATATATATATATATATATATATATATATATATATGGCATAATTAAATAATAACTGGTATTTAAAAAAACATGACTACGACTTTCACCCCTAAGGTAGACGATTTTTTTATAATGAAAATATTTTAATATAATTGATGTCATTGTATAGAGCTATGTTTGACTTAAAAAATGAGGGGTTATTTGACCTTTGAAGTGAAGCGGATCAAAAGTTATTGACCTTTTTGTAGTGAAAAAACGGGCGATTTTTTGACAAAAGGTATAAGGCTCAAGTATGGAAAATTTACTGCGAAATAGCACCGAAAATGAGAGTATTATTGACATTTGAATAACTTTTGAACCAATGATACATTTGACTTGAAATTTTCCATAGTGACCAATTAACTATAAGAAAATAAAGTTCCAAAATTTTCTTTTTAAAAATATGTCGGGCACGGTCGTTTAGATATTAGTAAAATGCGCTGTTTAGGTACGCATGCGTAAGAAAATACAATAAACTTTGAACTTTTAAAATGGCTACGGTTCTTAACTACAGAGAATATTTTATATGGCAACAGATTATTTGTTAATTAATTTCTGAAAAGCCAATGATGTAGCCTTATTTTTAACGTAAATCAATATAATAATAAAGAAATTTCACAAAAATATAAATAAATAGAGGTAACAAAAATCTTTGCGCGTTTAAACTTTATTTTTATTTAATACCTTTTTAGTGTAGATCATAGATTTGTTTACTTATTTGAAAGCAATTTTCTAAAAATCTGACTGTAGGATTTCAATAATTTTTTTTAAACTTCAGATAAATATGTTCTATATGCATGATATTTTTCTGGTCATTGCTTCAACTTTTTTTCCATATAAAAATTTGTTTTTACTGTTATGACTATTTCCTTATATATCAAAGTGCAATTTCATTAATTATTTTGTTAATTATTATTTTTCTGACTACATATATATATATATATATATATATATATATATATATATATATATATATATATATATATATATATATATATATATATATATTGTAATAAAAATAATAAAAGTAATATATAGGAACTTATTATGTTCTTTTTAGACCCCCAAGTAACATAATAAGTTCCTAATATAAAAAAAAATTATTTAAGTGTATCATGTTGGGTCTCAAATGAAGCAAAATTATATAAAAATTTCAATGTTAGATTTAACACCATATAAAATGAAGTTTATTAACTAAAAAAAAAAATAGTGCATTTTTACCAATTTTTTGCAATATTTTTTTTTCAATAAGTTTTTTATAATACAATTATCATATTTGAAATTTTCATGATTTCGCTTAATTTGAGATGAAATGTCAAGATTTTTGGCGAAGAAAAATTTAATTATTCACCTCTACACCGACTACAGTCGAGGAGGCTACTTTTGTGGTTACAACTCTTTCTATAACTCCGAAACATGAACCTCAATGAACAAGGCCGGTGCACAAGAAGCAAGTTACAAACAAGTATATTATCACAACTATCATGCAAGTAACATAAAAAAAAGCAAAATTAATTTTTAATACTAAAAATTTTGTTCTTATACTATAAATATTAGTAATTTAGCTAATTCCTGATACTGGATGTAACAGTAAAATATATAAACAATACAAATAATACAAATATATATATATATATATATATACATACATACATACATACATACATACATACATACATACATACATACATACATACATACATACATACATACATACATACATACATACATACATACATACATACATACATACATACATATAAATGACGAACAACAATCTATCGATTAGACTAAATTCTGCTACACTATGTATGGTGAAGCAGAAATAAAAAAAAGTAATAATTCCCAAAAAATTTTCCATAAAATTTCACATGTTTATCTGTCTAAAATGTTTTGTTTGATTTCTTGCTCTTAATAATATATTCCAATTATAGCATTTGTAATCTCCCATAAGCTTCATTTTCATCAATTGTTGTTCACAAGCAAGAGTTGGTAATTTTTAAAATAGCTTTAATACAAGATTTGCACAATTCTTTAACATAAGTTGTGCAAAAACTGGTTGCAGATAAAACTTTTGCTATGTATACTTTAGTAAAAAATCTATAATAACTATGTCATAAAAGCATTACACAAATAATGATCAACCTGAAAATATAATATAGAATTACTTTTAGAACTGTTTCCTTCATTAGTTTATGTGTTGAAGATGTTCCAGATTTAACGCCATTCCTTTTGAAAAGTTATTTATATTTCGTACTTTGCAGTTTTTGTTTAACTGTAAACATTTAGTAAGTCAGATAAATCTAATCAATATTAACATAACTAAAAACTAAAATTATTATAAAAAAAAGTTAAATTGCTTAGAGATTATTATTATATGAAAATATTTTATTATACTTTGTACTAAGTTTGTTGAATATTGCAACAAAAAAGTAAAAAATACAGTAAAAAAGAATACTCTATGTATGTATATATATACAAATATATATTGTATGTGTGTGTACAATAATACACACACACATAATTTGTATTATTGCATACACACATACATATATGTGTGTATGTATGTGTATATATATATATATATATATATATATATATATATATATATATATATATATATATATATATATATATATATATATATATATATATATATATATATATATATATATATATATATATATATATATATATATATATATATATATATATATATATATATATATATATATATAGTTTTTCCAGCAATAATTTGAAAGCTAAAATTAAAAGTAAACCTAAATTGAAGTAACTCAAAACAAAGAAAACAAGGGATGGATCAATAAAATTTGTTTTCAATATATAAAAGTATTTAGATATATAAAAGTATTTACAAAATGTTTGTGGTTATGTTAAAAATTTAGGTAAGTAGATCTAATTAATTCAACGTTGTACTATAACTTATGAAAGATATTAGTTCTTATACAATTCCATTTTTGGTCACTTTTGAACCTTTTGAAGTTAATATGATTTTTCGTTTTTTATTTTGGAAAAACAGTTTAAAGAAGGCCAATCTGTAATCACAATAGTCTATTTAATAGATAGATTGTAGCCTATAACCGAACTTAGAGTTTTGATTAACAATTCAGAAGTCAATCCAGAGAATGCCTCTAAAAAATTTATATTTATATTTTTAATTTATTAACATTTTAAGAATTTCACTTTTAATTTTATATTTAGAATACGAATAAGGTCCTAATTCGAATTCTAAATATAAAATTGAAAGTGAAATTTGTTCTTGTTGTCCTTATATATCCTTATTAATCTTTAAACCTTAATAAGGATTAATAAGGCTTTATATAAGGAAAAGGCTAAGTATGTGAATAATTAATTTAAGGTCCTTAAATTAATTATTCGCATCCTTAAATTAATCCCTATATTTCCTTATTAAACCTTATTAAAAACTTTTGTTCTTTCCATTATTTTTGTTTTTTATTCAAAATAAAAAAACTTCTTATTTACATCCTTAATGAGGATTATTTCTTATTCATCCTTAAAATATTTCTTATTCACATCCTTAAATTAATTCTTAATAAGGATGCGAATAAGAAATAATCCTTATTAAGCATTAATCCTTATTAAGGTTTAATTTAAGGATGTGAGTAAGAAATAATCCTTAATAAGGATTATTTCTTATTCACAACTTTAAATTATTTCTTATTCGCTTAAATATTAGCTAAATAGGACGGTTTATTTTATGAAAATAATGTATAACTGCTTTAAATGGTATAAAAATCTTTGTTCTTTCCATCATTTTTGTTAGTTGTCAACAATGTTGACAACAAACATATATGAAATTTGATATATATATATTTTTTTTCACTTAATGAGAAGCTTAGTTATTAGCTAAATAATTGAGCTAATATTTAAGTTTTTAAATTAGTGAAAAAAAATACATCATCAAATTTTATAAAACAAACGCAAAAATTTATTTATAACTTAGACTAAGTCTTAGTAAACAAACGCAAAAATCAAAACAAAAAACGTCAATGTTCTTTTAAGAACATTGAACATGTATATATATATACATGTTCAATGTTCTTTTAAGAACATTGAACATGTATATATATATATATATATATATATATATATATATATATATATATATATATATATTTAAACAATTTTAAAAAAATGTATTCTACAAAATAGAGTGCTCAATGTTTTTAAAAGAACAGAGCAATTATAAATTAGTAGAAAATCACTTAACAAAAATTTTTTTTATTTTACACTGTGTTTTATCAACAAAGAAAAGCATTTCTGATGAGTCTTTGTTGATGAAACACAGTGTAAAATGAAAAAATTTTTGTTTAGTGATTTTTGTTTTTGTTTAGTGATTTTCTACTAGTTTATATATATATATATATATATATATATATATATATATATATATATATATATATATATATATATATATATATATACATATATATATATATATATATATATATATATATATATATATATATATATATATATATATATATATATATATATATATATATATATATATATATATATATAAAGATTTATTTTCATCTGTCTCATCTATTGCAAGCAAAAACGTCAAAAAGTAAAAATTTTATTATTTGCATTTTGCAGTTTTGTTAGACTTTGAAAAATAATTTTTGCTCAACTTATTTGTGTAAGCTATTTTTAAAAGAGTTTGTGTTTCTTTTTGAAAGAGTTTGT